GGCCTTTTCTGGTAGGCTCCTATCCTGTTCCCTGTTTTCTCCCTCTTCCGATGTCCATCCCATTTGCCTTTCTGAGTGAGGATTGATCATCTTACCCAGGATCCTCCTTATTGCTTAGCCTCTTTAGGTATACAGATTTTAGAATGTTTATCCTATATTGTATGTCTCATGTCACTTATAAGTGAGTATATATCATGTGTGTCTTTCTTTTTCTGGGATACCTCACTCAGGATGATCTTTCTAGATCCCATTTGCCCACAAATTTCATGATTTCCTTGGTTTTAATTGCTGAGTAAGTATTCCATTATGTAAATGTACCACAATTTCTGCATCCATTCCTCCATTGAAGAACATCTGGGTTATTTCCAGATTCTGGCTATTATGAATAAAGCTGCTATGAGCATGGCAGAGCAAATGTCCTTGTTGTATACTTGAGCATATTTTTGATATATGCTGAGGAGTGGAATAGCTGGATCTTGAAGAAGCACTATTCCTAATTGTCTGAGAAAGAGCCAGTTTGATTTACAAAGTGGTGGTACAAATTTACATTTCAGCCAGCAATGGAGCACCATTCCTTTTTCTTCATATCCTCTCCTGCATGTGTTGTCGTTTGAGTTTTGATCTGTCTTAAGCATAGGTCAACATTCTCTTTGGTGTGAAGTTACCTTGGATTTGATAGTGATTGGCTGATATACTTTTAAATTATTAATTTTTATGAGTTTTCATCTGATGTTATTTTCTATGCACATTTTATTGAATGCCTGTTTTTATTCTTATCTCAAAATTAATCAGGGTTTTGGAAAAAAAAAGCAAATAATGAAAATGAATCATCAATATTTAATCTGAATTCTATCTACCTTAACTGCAACACAAATCCTAAAGCTTGTACTTGTTTTAAAATATTGACTTCTATTAACAAAGATGTAAAACTTTTATGAATGAAACTTTAATTATTTTATAAGTAATTTTAATGAAACTTACATATTCATACTTCTTTGCTCAACTTTTCTTTCCTGCAGTTTCTTTCTCTTTCATGTATGCCCTTGTATTCCCCAGATCTTTATTTTTGTGCATATATATATATATATATATATATATATAAAACGTACATATTATGCATATATATATGAGTGCGTTCATGTGTGTGTGAGTGTATACGGAGACCAAAGGTTGATGCTGGATATCTTCCTCAATTGTTCTCCACCTTATTTCTTGGTACAGGGTTTCTAATTGAGCCAAAGAGAGACCCCAATTAAAAACAAAGATGGTGTGTAAAGATCAGCATCCATGGTTGTTTTTTGGCTTGCATGCACATACATGTAACCCATATATATATATATATATGTATATATATATTACACACACACACACACACACAAACACAATTTTTGGTAAATTTAAACAATTTCTAAAACTCTGGCTTAGTTAATTTTTAGTTTCTTAATTCCAATTAAGTCATGAGTCTTCACAACTTTTATGGATGAATTTGTAATATGATTTTAGTTCAACTTCTAAATAATATAGGATAGTATCCACTGTGAAATATTTCAATAAATAGCTATTAAGTAATATATAAATAGGATGCTGAGAATGAGGAATTTCTCCTAAGATATTTTGTTGCTTCAGCAATCTCAATTTTTCAGTAAAAATATTTGCATCTCCCTTATATCATAAATATATATGTGTTTTAATGACCTTTACAGCAACTCACAAGCTGACACTGGTGACTAAAGGTCTTTTATCCAAAATAAAATTGTGTTTAGTTATGATAATTAAATGTTTAAAAGTAAAATTTATACTTTTAGAAATGAGATTTGAGTTTTATTTCAGTATTCTGGAAATATAATCTTCCAGTGTTGGACTTTGGCACTGACTTCAGCTGAAAATAGACTAACTATCCATTTTGAATACTTACTCAGAACATGTGGTAGATGTAGCTTCACTCATTAGTGTTATTTTAATAAGATACAACAGAAGAGAAAAGAATAGACTGGCAGGGGAAACACAAGGCTGATCTCCATGAGAGAAGGCTAAGTACATTTTTGTGACTGTGTCTCTACTTGTTAATGTGTGTGGATGTACACATTCACAGACGTTGTACACAGATGAGCAGGTCAGATCATAACCTACAGTTTGTGTTAGGGTCATTATAAACTGTTTGGAAATCACTGAATTATGTTTCAGAACAGTGACTGATACGTAGAAGAATACAGGCATGAACTACTGAAATTGCCATTAAAAGATAGAAATGAAAGGTTTGGGAAATATCTTCCCTAAAGGAGCAAGATATGTGACCTACAGACTTAAACTTTGAGTATGAATAATCAGGGCCTAAAAGTGTACGGAAGGAAGCTGGTAATCAACAGTGAAGTAGGAACATTTGAACAAGTGAGAAGAGGTGGTAAGAACAATAATGGTACAATAATGTTAATGGCACATGGCATTTCTTACTGCTTAGTGTGGTTTTCACAGCAATCCCTCCCGTTTACTTTAGTGAGGTTGACTGGTACTACCCTCAGTAGGAAGACAGAGCATGGATTAGTAATCCATGCTTCAAATAAACAAAGATGCAGTTTATGGATACTATGGCTATTTTCTCAGTCTAACAGTTATAGAAAATACCCAGCAGTGTATCAAAGCAGATCCTGAGACTCATAACCAAACCTTCGGCAGAGTGCAGGGAATCATATGAAAGAAGGGGGAGTTAGTATGACCTGGAGAGGACAGGAGCTCCACAAGGACCAAATATATCTGGGCACAGGGGTCTTTTATGAGACTGTATCCCCAACCAAGGACCATGTATAGATATAACCTAGAACCCCTGCTGGGATGTAACCCATGGTAGCTCAGTGTCCAAGTAGGTACCCTAATAAGGGGAACAGGGACTATTTCTGACATGAACTCAATGGCTGGCTCTTTGACCTACCCCCTCCCACCTGAGGGAGAAGCAGCCCTGCCAGGCCACAGAGGAGGTCTTTGCAGCCAGGCCGGAAGATACCTGATAAGTTAGGGTCAGTTGAAAGAGGAGGTGGTCCTCCTCAGTGGACTTGGAAAGGAGCAGGGAGGAGATGAGGGAGGGAGGGTGGGACTGGGAGGGAATGAGGGAGCAGGATACAGCTGGGATACAAAGTTAATAAATTGTAACTAATATTAAAAAATAAAATTTAATTTAAAAAAGCTCAAGGAAGTAAAAAAAAAAGAAGAAAGAAAGAAAAAGAAAATACCTGCACCAGTTTTGTCTCTTCTGAATAATTTTTATCTTTGTCCTTTCATGTGTTAGACAAAAAATTTTGTACTTTAACTTTACAGATGAGGATCAGGGAAATTAATAATTTATTTGCACTTGTTTTATATGACTATACACACATATAAAGTCACATATATGTTCATGTTCTCTCAACTTAATTGTACTGTTTTCTAAAAGCTGCTACCTAGCATCGTAAATGATTGATGTAGTTTACAGATATATATTATCTGCAACTAATAATGTTGATGAGACAAAGCAGGATGTTATTTTAATTAATTTTTATTTACTGAGTAAATAAAAAGTCATCAATTAGCAGATACAGAATAAAATATTTTGGGTCTGTTGGATTTTACCATGAATCACCCAAAAGCATATCTCTAGGATTGAACTTCAGGGGGTTGTTTGAGTAATCAAAATATTTGAGTAAAGCTTTAGCTGTTCATATGTAGTCTTGAAAATACACCACTTGGTACAAATGAAATGTTAACCACTGTTTGCAGCATCCCTCCTGCTATGACTATGTGTAGGTGAAAAAATGATTTTGCTGGCCATTTTACATCACAGTCCATACAGACAGCATACAAAATGTTCACACTGGTTCTATGGTCATGGAAGACAGTCTGAGTTTAGAGGGGAGGGTTCAAGGGAGTGATATCTGTAGGGACATTATTAAACAGTTCTTAAAACAAGAATTGCTTCAGTCTGGTGTTTCAAAATGAATAGAAGCATGCCTTTACTGAGTAGGCACTAATAATGAGAGTTGGGATTTCCATTAATTGCTTAAAAGTCATAGAAGGCCATGAGGATATAGCCTCAAAACCCAGTCACTGGACATTGGTTATCCACAGTCTTTCGTGGAGATGACAGTGAAATATGACATATCAGTTAAGATCCCGGGAGACCTTGAATGACTGGATTGATAATTTGAGAAGCAGTTTTCTTTTACTGGGTCATTGTTTTACAGAATAGCTATGTTCTCCTTCGGAATACCCCCAGTTACTGCTCTTCACTAATTTATGCCCCAGATTTCTTCCTTTACTTATGTTATCAGTTTTTCATCCATCCTGCAATGTGTTCCAAAAATAATTCCAATGTGTTTATTTCAGGTCATATTTTCATATATGCCACCTTCACATGTGAAAATATGTATATTTTCATAAGACAGGTTTTATAAAACTACTCTTTAACTAGATCACCAGTGGTTTCTAATGATTCTTCCATGACCCCGAAAACAACAATTTCCAAATTCAATAACCTGAACCTTCCATGAAAAAGATCCATAAGGGCTGCTCACTTTTAGATATGCTAATCTCTGATAATCATTATATTGTGGTGTCTTAGAAGCAAAAGGCTATAAATTGTCTATAGCGGACAGTTATGTGCTACCCTTATATGTTCTATATAGGAACAGGAAAACCCATGTCTCCCCCAGGAGTATTGTAGAATATATTTTAAAACTTTTATCTCTGCCTTATAGTAGCCCACATTAATCCTGTATGCCATCCTGCTTATGCTGTAACAAGGCTTTCCAGATGGATGATGTACTTCCCAATATCAGCCAGTGTTTTATTGCTGATCTTATGTGAGACATGTGCTAGCTTGTGTGTCCTTTCCTTGAATGGTTGAATTGTGGATCCTTTGTTCTCACCTCCTGTCACCCAATCATTGCTTAAATCTGTGGAAATGCTTCCATGTATTCCTTGATAATTCCTAGAGAATCTTAAATGACCCGGTTTGAAATGGGCACAAACTATCAGGGAAGTTTCTTGCCCATGGCCCTGCACAGAGCATCCTTGACTTCTTTGTTCCTTAAAGTGTATACCACAGGGTTCAGGAGGGGTGTGATAACAGTGTAGGTCACAGAGATCAGCTGGTCCTCATCTCTGGTATTCTTTGACTTGGGTTTAAGGTAGGCAATGGAGGCACAGCCATAATGGATAACAACCACTGTGATATGAGAGGCACATGTGGCAAAGGCTTTCTTCCTGCCCTCAGCAGAAGCAATCTTGAGGATGGCCGAGATGATGAGGATGTAGGAGATGAAAACCAAGCTCATGGGGATCAAGATCACCAACACACTGATGACCAAAGTGAGGATTTCATTGACAGTGGTGTCAATGCAGGAGAGCTTCATCACAGGCCGGATATCGCAGAAGAAGTGAGCTACCTTGATGGTACAGAAGGGCAGCCTGAACACAGCTGACACTTGTATCATTGCTACAATTAGACCAATGCTACAGGCTCCCCACACCAGCTGGAGGCACAACCGTTTGCTCATGATGACCGAGTACCTCAACGGGTTGCAAATAGCCACATAACGGTCATACCCCATGGCTGTGAGCAAGAAGCAATTGTTGATAGCCAAAGTGATGAAGAAAAACATCTGAGTGGCACAACCTGCCAAGGAAATGGGCTGACTCAGGCCAATGAGGTTGAGGAGCATTCTCGGTATAATGACAAGGGTGTACACAGTCTCAGAAGCTGACAGCATGCTGAGGAAGAAGTACATGGGAGTGTGAAGGTGACGATCAAGACTGATGATGGTCACAATGATGACATTACCTGCTAGGGTTAATATGTACAGTGCTAGGAACACAATGAAGAGAGTGAGCTGGTGCTCGTGGAAGTTAGAAAAACCCTGGAAGGTGAACTCATTCACCAAAGTGTGATTCTGTTTCTTCATTATATCATGAACGGTATTTAAGAAAGAAAAATAACATTAATGATACCAAAAGGGTGATATTGTTAGGCTGAGAATTTTTGTGGCTGGTCCACTGCAAGTTGATTCTCATCCCCATCTATTTCTTTGAGGACTAAAGCCTGGGGGTGTGGTCCAGCATTCCCAGTAAGAAAACACTGCATGGCCTTCAGAGTTGAATGCTGTAAGTCATTTCCTTCTTCTGTCATGTGTTGTCTTATCTTGAACAAAGACTGAACATTCTTAAAACAAGTCTCCACATCTCCTATAGGGATGTAGTGATGTTAACATCTTAGCGCTGTGGACATACAAAAAGTTATACTGCTAACTATAACAGAGGTTGAAAATTTTTTTGGAAATTTATTTATTCACTTTACATCCTGATTACAGCACCCTCCTCTTCTCCTCGTCTCCCCACTTGTGCACCCCTCCCTCAATTCTCCCCTCTTCTTCTTCTGAGAGAAGGAGGCAGTCCACCAGTGGGTACCAACCAACCCTGGCACATTCACTCACTGCAGCCCATTTAGGGGAAATGGTATCCAAAGGGAGGTGTGAGAGTCAGAGAGGGCCCCCATGCCAGTCATTGGGGATCCATATAATGATCAAGCTACACTTCTGCTACATATGTGCTGAGAGCCTAGGACCAGACCATGCATGCTTCTTGGTTGACGGTTCAGTCTCTGTGAGGCACCATGGGTCCAGATTAGTTGACTCTGTAGGTTTTGTAGAGTTTTTTACCCCTTCTTCTCCCTCAATCATTCCCCTAACTTTTCCATGTGACTCTCCAAGCTCTGTCTAATGTTTGGCTCTTAGTCTCTGCATCTATTTCTATCAGATGCTGTGTGAAGCCTCGCAGAGGAGTTATGGTAGGCTCCTGTCTATGAGCCTGAAGTGGCTACCCTCTGTAGCCTGGCAGGGTTTCCAGTGGAGAGATAAGGAGACCAACCCACCCAGAAAACCTTTGATCCAACATTTGTCCTGCCTACAAGATTCACAGGGACAAAGATGGAGCAAAGGTTGAAGGAATTGACAACCAAAGACCGGCCCTACTTGACACTCATCCGGTGGGAGAGAACTGATCCCTGACACTGTTGATGTTACCCTGTTATGCTTATAGAAGTTGAAAAATTTAAAACATTGGATACAGTATCATGTACAGTCCCTGATGTTTTAACTGCCTGCTCATTCCTGAGCGTATAAGGTTGGGTGGAGCTGTGGTTATTGTCACTTACAGACTGTTTCTTTTTAATCCAACTCCTTTGCCTCTGATGCTCCTGTAGAAGCTGCTCTATATTTCCCTAGATGCCACCCATTTTTTCAAAACTAAGCTAACCATGTTCTTTGTAAAATCATTTTCCTCTCACCCCTATCTATATTTCCTTGAATAAGTGGGTAGCAAAGAATATTTTACTATTTTATTTGTGTATTACTAAAATCTTATTGTGCCTTTGAAATCACAAAAGATATTCACATATATTCATTCCATTTAATTGCCATCCCATAAAGTATAAAGACAAGACTGCTGATTCTTTTGACATGAGGAATTTGAGATGATCATCTCTTTTGTTAGGGCACTGCCTGTGGACCCACAATGTCAAAGAATTAAACTAAGATTCATAGTCATAGTCATGATTATTTTTGATTGTTCCTTCCAACACACAAAACTGCATCATGCAACTGTCCCCATCACAACTGGGCAGGACCCATGCATTCCCTCTCTTTGTAACCACCATGAGGCCAGTATAATGTAAGATATGAACATCATTTTGAACATTCATTACAAATCCACCACAGAAATGGTCCATTAAGAAACAGAAAGTGAGAGCACTATAGTGACATTTTCTTCAAGGAACAGAAGGCTTAGTATTTCAACCTCTGGCTCATTTTTTCCTCATGCCTATGTCACAGCAGCAACAAACAAATAAATAATTGGGTTACATTTTAACATTGAAGTTATGGCATTAGAACACTGGCCAGAAACACCTCATTATCAACGTGTAATTGGAAAATATATTGATAGAGCACCCTTTCTAATAGCCTTCACTGTCTCTGTTACTAATCAACATGATTATAACATGTTAGTTCAAAAAATTAATTCAGCAACAGAAGGATAGAGTTTCTTCCAAAAGTACATTTTGCTGGAATTAATGCAAATGAGCTACACTACAAAATGATTTGCTATTGGGTAAATTTCAAAGGCACTCTCCTTTAGTGCTTTAAACATTTAATTTATCAGATTTTCATGAATAAGCCACTTTTCATAGAGGAAAACTGAAAAAAGGTTTTATTAAATAAAATAAGAAATCAATGCATAGTTGGGCTTCGGCTCCTCCAAACACCAAAACAAAGGAAAATCACATAAGGTTGCAAACAAAATAAATTTTATGTTAAATGCCACAGGCCATTTCTTGATAGGGAAAGTTGTTTGACCCTGTTGTGTATAACATAAACATGCTTTATGCAGCTTTATAAACTGTGTCTTTCTGAAATATGAATTGTTGAAAGATGAGAATATAGAAGAAGGATCATAGCTGGTAAAGCAGCAGAGTCATATTGTTTATTAACTAATATTAATCTTTAACCAGGGGAAGTCATGATTTATCGAAGTTAACAGAACAGGAGATCTTTTAAGGAATACATAAAAAGTAAAGAAGGAAAACAAGTATCTACAGATAGCACTATTTTACTCTGCTTTGTACAATTTGAACTTTTTACAAGGAAACCTATGCATGTATTTTTTTTCTCCAATGACAGTGTCTTAACCACTGGTGTCTTTCCTCAGATTTCACTTACTTCTCTCCCTGTGAAGCTGTGTCTCAAAAGAATAATAAAGGCAGAGGTTGGAGATGTGGTCCATTGTTCACAGACATTCACAAATCTGAGTCATAAAAGAAGTCATCTAAGGGTGTTTGGGCCACATGCCACAGGGTTAGCCCCACGATGAAGGCTGATGAAAGGCGTGGGGGTGGGGTGGAGCTCCAGGTAGGAAATGCTCCTTCTATCTGGAAGAGGAAATTTTGATGCCCGACAAAGATTCTCCAAGGAGCAACTTTCAGTGATTCTGGGTGCTATTCCCTCAGCATCCTGAGAGTCACCTTGGGACAGAGAAGTGTCAGATACCCTGTGCCAAGGGACCTCGTTATGTGAAAGGCATGTTCACCAGACTCCGTAGTATAGTGCTTTGCAAACTTTGAGGTATGTTTCACTGCAAGTAGGCAACAATGTGGCTTATTTGTCAGGCTTTATTTTATTTTATTCAAGTAAGTGTTCTATTTTTACACAGTGGAGCCCTGGAAAACCATGGTTACAAAACCCCAGTGAGCTCTAGATGAGAATCTTAGAGTCTGTGAAACTGCAATTCTCACGTAGACAAGAACTCTGCTCCATGCTGGAAGATGTTTTCTTTATATTTTTGTTTATCTAAATAAAAATAGTTAATCCTGGCTATGTTCTATCTATCTATCTATCTATCTATCTATCTATCTATCTATCTATCTATCTATCTATCTATCTATCATCTTCCTCTGGGAGTCAAAAGTGGAGATAAAATGATAACACAATTTTTTATGGAAGGCTAGATGAGCAGAGTATCTAAACAACCTGAGCAGAACATCACCCTGAAGATTATCAGACACCTTTCTAAAGACAATGGGCTTCATGAGCACAGTTTGGGGTCCCCATCACCCTGACTTCCCTGCCCCAAGTCCAAATCCTTTATTCCCTAGAGAAAATTTTACCCTGAGATTTCTCTAGCATATGTCTCCCTATCGAATTATTCTGCCTCTTCTCTGAGTTAACCCTTCTATATTTTACAAAACAAATAAATAAATGTCTTCATTAATAATAAACTTGAAAATGCCCCTGCACTCAATTTTTCCCTTTTGTCTCTCATGGTCTTCTTTATCCACTGAATGTATGGTAACCTTTAAAAGTAAGGAATTATAAAACTGAAAGTGCATAACAAATACAAAAACTTTCACTGGCATTTGCTCTTATTGCAATACACTCAGAGATAACTGAAAATGAAATACTGGGGGCTGGACAGATGGCTCTGTCATTAAGTGTGCACTCCTTCTCTTCCAGAGGACCTGAGTTCAGTTCCCATCACCCATGCCAGGAGGAGCACCACTATTTGTAACTCTCGCTGCGGGGTGATCCAATGTCTCTGGTTTCTGTGACTTGTGCACACTTTACTGAGAGTGTATGCACTCATGTAGCATGTGAACACATGTATACACACACACACACACACACAAGAGAAAGAGAGAAAGATGGAGACAGAGAGAGAAATGGAGACACACAGAGAGACAGACAGATACAGAGAACAAAATGAAGCTAGTATACAGTTAAAAGGCAAACAAAAGTTCCTAAATAATTTTCAAAATGAGCAAAGCTTTGGTTCAGTGGGCAAGAAGCTACCAGTAGTGATTTGCCTGTAAGCACACTGGTGGTAGACTTGGCATCTGCCCTTGGTATTTCTCTTTTGTTTATTTGCTCAATTTAGAAACACTATTTATAATATTAATGTAACAATGGTACAGAGCACTGCATTTCAAATATGTGAAATGCAGAGCATCGCAAAAAAATACCCATTTGGGGACCTGTCACTCAGCTCAACTTGAAAGCTGCTCTTACACGCTGTCTTTCCTGTCTCCCTATCTTCTTGTTTCCGAAGCTCTCACTGCTCCAGTGGTTACCACTGTCTGCATTATGTTTATTTTTATTGTATGCATTTTATGCCATTGTTACACATGTATGTATGCTTCAATAATAGGACATTGTTCAGCATATATAGTTTTGACAAAATAGTCAAAATACATTGCATATGGTTCACTGAGATTCAAGCATTTTTAAAATTCAATGTCATATTTTAATTTTCAGAATGGGACTGTAGTGCATAAATTTAAATGCCTTTTTTAAAAAGACAACACTAGGATTGTTTCCAGAAATTACAATGTTTTGAGTATTTTAATTCTTGTTCCTAT